ATTGATTAGTGATGTCTGCAGGGGCAAGACCATAGCCACCGAAGCACGGATTTACCTAAGCAGCGGGAACTGCTCCTGATTCTCCGCCGGAAACAGCCTCTGACGCGGTTACGCTCTGTCCAAGGAGGGCTCAGAGGCCAGGGGCCGGAGCGATCATACAGCAAGGAGGGCATTTGCCTTGCACGTGGCTGACCCAGGTTTGATCCCCAGCATCTCATAGGGTCCCCCGAGCACCGCCAGGAGTAACTCCTGAGTGCAGAGCCAGAAGGAACCCCTGAGCATCGCTGGGTGTGACCCCCCTCACCCCCCCAAAAAAAGAAGACACAAGAAGGCACAGAGCCCAACATCTTTAATGGAGCTGCCCTGAACGGAATATTTATGTCTCCAGCCAGACTCGACGGCCTGTTCGCCTTGGCAAGGCAAAAAATAAAAGTGCTCACGGAGTTTTTTGTTCCAGTGCCCAGTGCCCCAGCTCCCCACGTGAGGGCTTCAAGTTTTACTGTTATTCTTTCTGTTGTTGTTACCATGACGGGGGGGGGGGGGGGGAACGGGGAGTCGCACACACACGCCAGCTGAGGGGACTTGAGCCTTGCTTAGTTGTTGTTTTTGTTTGGGTCACACCCGGCGATGCTCAGGGGTTACTCCTGGCTCATGCACTCAGGAATTGCTCCTGGCGGTGCTCGGGGGACCATGTGGGATGCTGGGAATCGAACCTGGGTCGGCCATGTTGGCTGCATGCAAGGCAAACACCCTACCCACTGTGCTATCGCTCCAGCCCCGAGCCTTGCTTAGTTTTGATGCTGGCCTCAGGCATACACCAGGCCGTGCCACTCTGTGAGCCCAGGTCACACACTCCGCAGAGGAGTGAAGACTCTGGTGGGTGCGGGGTCCACCCTTCAGGCACCTTCTTTGCAGTGGCAGCGCTTACTGGCGGTCACGCCCCTTCATTCATGGTTCCTGCACGCCCTTGGCTGGGGTGAGGCCCCAGATCAGCCCCCCACCACACCTGGGACCCGCTACCAGGCTCAGAGAATGGGGCTGCCTGAGTTATGCCGGGCTCATGTGGGCACACCAGGGATTTGAACTCACGACCAATGTTTGCAAAGGTAGGTAGGAGCTCTAGGTCACTGTGCGGTTCCTCCAGGCTCTGCATGGGCTGGAGGTGTGGCTTTGGTCTTCGGGGCTACTCTGTGAATGGGGACTCTTCCCCTGTCCCGTGTGATCGGCGACAAAGCCGGGGCTCAGAGAGGTCAAGAAAGCGGACCGTGGTGACACAGCCCAGTTAGAGACTGCACCAGCACCCCCCCCCCCAATCTCGTGACTCAGGCCTCTGGCACTTTCCATGAGCCACGGGCCCCCTCCCTGAGTCAAACAGCATCACTGAGACCCAGACGCCGCCTGACCCCACTCGCTGCAGGCCCTGCAGGCCCGGGAGGGCTGGGTGGGACCTGCCTTGTGGGGGGTGGGGGGGGGGCGGGTTTGCTCCACTCGGCTCCCAGCTCCAGCGAGGGTCCCTCACTCCGCTGCCCCCGTGAGTCAGGCAGTGAGTCAGGCTCATCTGGGCGGGAGAGGCCCTGAGTCAGGGACGCTTGTGAGGGCGGCTGGCGCGGGGCCAGGCGCCCCGGCCCCCCCCCCCCCCCGCGGTGGCGGCGTCTGGCCCAGGAGAGCTCGGAGGGTGGACACCCGCTGTCCCGCCCGCCGCCCCCGCCTGGGCCTGGTGCCCGCCCGTGGGTCGTCACTGCGGGTCCTTGGGGCTCTTGGTCTTTCTGATGTTTTTATGTAGGGGTCCAGACACTGCTGGCCGCCTCCTGCACCATCTACGCGGGCCCTCGTGGGCTCGTGGTGGGGAGCAGAACCCCGTGTGGGTCAGTTCGGCTGTCACGCACGTCAGCAACAGGCCACTAACATCCAGGAACCTGAAACACACCCACAACGTGCAAGACGGCCCAGACCCCAGAACACCGTCCCCCCAATGCTGGGGAAGTGGGTCAGCCCCAAAACCCCCAGTGAGGAGCAGACAGAGGGAGACTCTGCTCAGGGGACTGCCCAGCGCTGTGGGGTCCCAAGGTGGCCAGCACCCCTGGGCCAGTGTCTGCTCCTATGACCTTTGACCTCATGGCCTGTCTCCTGCCCACCGCCGGGCTCAGAACACAGAAGGACACTGCCCGTGCACCGCCTCCCTGGGTGCAGGCTCACGGGGGCTGGCGGCTGAACTGCACCCCCGCAGAGCCCCCAAACCATACCTCCACGGCACCCCCAAACCACAACATCGCAGCGCCCCCAAATCACCTCGCTCAGGCCCCAACCCGCTGGGAGCCGGGCCCAGAGGGGACCTCGGTGTGTGCCAGCACCGCGCTGACCACTCGCTGACCACTCGCTGACTGCTGACCACTTGCTGACCACTCACTCACCACTCACTGATCACTTGTTGACCACTGACCACTCGCTGGCCACTCGCTGACCACTGACCAATCGCTGACCACTGACCACTCGCTGACCACTGGGTGCCCCTCTGCCGACCAGGCAGCCCCAAACCATGCCAGGTGGAGAGGGGTGCTGTGCGCCAGAGGCGGCCGGGAGCCGCGTACCGCAGGAGGGTTGGGGTCTCCGATGGAGAAGTGGGGGGTTGGCCCCCATGTGGCTTCCACCCCACGCTCCCCCCAACACAGGCCAGAATGAAACCAAATCGGGCCCGGAACCCGCCCAGGGCAGAGCTGCTCTCCTTCTCAGCCCCCTGTGAGTGTGGGGTAAACTGAGTCACTGAATGACCCTCTTGCTAAGCTGAGACAACCCGCCACACACAGGGCCCCACCCTCACTCCACAGAAGGAAACTTCTGGTTCTGAACCAGCCTCCTAGGACAGATCCCCCCTAGGACGACCCCAGGCCGTCCCCTCTTCCGCCCCCTTTAAACTGGGGCGTCAGCACGCCTCCCAGCCCACCTTCCAGGCACCCCAGGGGTTCAGGTTGGGCTCAGGTGCCCCTGTGAGACCTCTGACCCGGAAGGACTCAGTTCTGCTTGGGGCCCCAAAAACTATGAGATCGGGGCCAGAGAGATAGTGCAAGGGGCAGAGCACTTGCCTAGAGAGCAGCTGGCTGGGATTCAACCCCCAGGACCCCGTATGGTCCCCCAAGTATCACCGGAAATGACCCCTACACTTAGGGCCAGCAGTAAGGCCTAGGCATCAGCAGGTGTGACCCACCCCCAACAATAACAACAGCAAAGCACCTCTGAGGTAATGACACAGGGTCCACGGCAAACTACACACAAACTACACGCAAACTACATGCAAACGACACACAAACCACGCAAACTACACGCAAACTACAAGGTCCCAGAGCCGCCACCTCCATAGCCTGGCACTCCCTGCCTCCCAATCCTGCACACACCACAGCCCAGGGGCGTCAACAAAGCAGGGGTTGGGGCCCAGAAGTCTCAGGGTCTGAGCCCCCCCCAAGGCCCTGCCCACAGCCATCCCTGCCCCTCATCTCTGCACCCACACGCCCCCACGGGCGCTCTCCCCTGCATGCTCCTCCCTGGGCCCAAGCAGACGCTGCCCAGTGCCTGACAGGACCCTGGAGGTGGCACAACGCCAGCTCTGAACCACACAACCAGAGGGGAAACTCTGAGGGGTGCCCTGAGGGGGTCCTGACAGCTGCCATTTGAGGAGGCACCCCAGGATTTGACCCGAGAAGGTCGGGTAGACGAACGGAAGAGCATGGGTGAGGTCTGAGAATGAAAGAGCTGGGGGAAGGGGTAGAGGGGTGAGGCTGGGAGAGCTGAAGGAGGGTGAGGCTGGGAGAATTGGGGGAGGGGCGAGGCTGGGAGAGCTGAAGGAGGGGTGAGGCTGAGAGAACTGGGGGAAGGATGAGGTTGGGAGAGCTGAAGGAAGGTGAGGCTGGGAGAGATGGGGAGGGGTGAGGCTGGGAGAGCTGAAGGAGGGGTGAGGCTGAGAGAACTGGGGGAGGGGCGAGGCTGGGAGAGCTGAAGGAGGGGTGAGGCTGGGAGAGCTGCGGGAAGGATGAGGTTGGGAGAGCTGAAAGAGGGTGAGGCTGGGAGAGGTGGGGAGGGGTGAGGCTGGGAGATGAAGAAAGAGTAAGGCCGGGAGAGCTGAAGGAGGGGTGAGGTTGGGAGAGCTGAAGGAGGGGTGAGGCTGGGAGAGCTGCGGGAAGGATGAGGTTGGGAGAGCTGAAAGAGGGTGAGGCTGGGAGAGGTGGGGAGGAGTGAGGCTGGGAGATGAAGAAAGAGTAAGGCCGGGAGAGCTGAAGGAGGGGTGAGGCTGGGAGAGCTGAAGGAGGGGTGAGGCTGGGAGAGCTGGAAAGGGTGATTTGGGGTGAGGATACGCAGGCCTGGCACCCAGTGCGGGGAGACTGAGCTGTGCTTCTCCAGGGAGCCGGGAAAGGTCATGGGTGTCAGAGCAGCCGAGGCAGCACACACACGGGCCTGCTACAGCCCAGGCTTCCCCGTCACGGCCGCCATCAACATTAGCGCATCTGTGGCCAGGCCCACACTCCCCTGCTGCAGACCCCCTGGGCCAGCCCAGGACACAGCATCAGCCACTCCAGGACAGTCACCCGTCCTTAGAGCAACCTCCATGCCCCGACGACTCCACGCAAGTCCTCCCAGAGCTGGGCGCCCCCACGGGGCCAAGGACACGGTGACACACCGTCATTCCCACACGCGGCCAAGGACACAGTGACATACCGTCATTCCCACATGCTGCCAAGGATGTGGGTGACACACCCTCATTCCCACACGGGGCCAAGGACACAGTAACACACCGACATTCCCACACAGGGTCAGGACATGGGTGACAGGTCGTCATTCCCACACGGGGCCAAGGACACAGCTGACACACCGTCACCCCCACACACGGCCAAGGATATGGGTGACACACCGACATCCCCACACGGGGTCAAGGACATGTGAGACACCGTCATTCCCACGCGCGGCCAAGGACACGCGTGACGCACCGCCATCCCCGCGCGGCCAAGGATATGGGTTACACACCATCTTGATGCACCAGTTCCGGGGGCTGGTGGTCTGTCGCAGGCAGAAGAAAGCCACGGGTGCCAGGTCCGGGTGTGGGACGTCGGGGTCCGCGTTGGCTCCATCCAGGGGCTCCTCGGGGCCCGGCGGGGTCGGAGGGGGGCTCCTGGGCCCCGGCTGCTCCGTGATCCCGGGCTCGGCCGTGGGGGCCGCCGTGCAGGAGGGCGGGGAGGGGCACTCGGCCATGTCAGCGCCGGGCAGGGGGCCCTGGGGGACAGGAAGGCACAGGTGGGTGGGCAGCTCCGACCCGGGGCCCCAGGCTCAGACTCGAAGTCACACTAATGTCCCATCTGGGCCCCACCGTGTCACCTGGCATCTCCTGGGTGGCCCTTGGGGTCCAACATCCCGCTGAGAAGGAAGGGGCGGTCCAGGCTGCGTGGAGACCCTGACTCGGCCTCGGACCCACCCCAGGTCCCTCCAGGTCCCGCCAGCCCCACCTACCCACGAGTCACCTCCCCCAAGTCCTCGGCTGCTGGAGTCCCCGGGGCCCCGAGCCCTGAGAGCTGGCAAGGAGCCCGGTCCCCTGGTGCCCGCCCAGCCGCCTGCCAGGACACCAGCGCAGACCTTTCCCTGGCTCCAGGGGCCACAGACAGGCCGCAGCTGCCCTCCCCGTCCCGGCTCTGGGCTGTGCTTCTTGCCGGCACCTCGCCGGACACACGTCCACCCCGGGAGACAAGCTGCTCCCGGGTGCCCGGCCTCCGTGCCCGCCCGCCACTGGCTCCTCCATCCTGCCGGGCTGGACGCCACAGCTCTGAGGGGGCCGCTGGGCTCCCCTGGGCAGACCCACCCCACTGTACCCTCACCCCAGCCCCTCCTCTATGCATGCCCGCTCTGCCCGCTCAGGCCAGTCATTCGCCCATGAATACCCTCAGCAGCTACTGTGAGCCCGACCTGCCCTCCCCCTCCCCCACTCCCTCCCTCTCTTTCCCCCTCCCCCTCTCTCCCTCTCTCTCCTTCCCCCTCCCTCTTTCTCTCCTTTCTCTCTCCCTCCCTCTCTGTCTCCCTCTCTCAGTCTCCCTCCCCCGATCTCTCCCAGGGCTCCCACCAGCCTGGCCCCATCCGCTATTGCCCTGAGGATCTGCATCCTTCCCGGCAGCGTCTCCTCTGCAACCCAGACACGGACTCTGGTCCTCCTCCTCCGCCGCTGTGTGTGCCTGCGCCGGGCAGTGCCGGAACATGCAAGGCGTCAGCGACTGTGCTGAGCCTGCATCCCTGTCACCCCGTGACCTTCGCCCGCGCCCATCACCACCATCATCCCCAGCGCCTCCATCACCTGCATCACCTGCATCATCCCATCGCTGTCACTGCCACCACCGCCACCACCTCACCAGGACCATCATCTCCATTGTCACCGTTATCATCATCATCTCCATCACCACTGTCACCTCAACTCCGTCACCTCCATCGCCACCGTCACTTCCCTCAGCAGCACAACCACCAGTGTTCCATCATGATATCCCCCAAAACCACCATGTCCATCATCTCCAGCACCCAGGACTCCATCCCCATCTCCCCATCACCTTCATCATCATCTCCCCATTACCTCCATCTCATCTCCCCATGACACCATCCCTTTCACCCCATCACCTTCATCCCCATCTCCTTATCACCTCCATCTCCATCATCCCATTACCTCCATCACGATCACCTCCATCACTTCTATCACCTCCATCACTTCCATCTCCATCTCCCCATCACCTCCATCCCCATCACCCCATGACTCCATCCCCATCACCCCATCACCTCCATCCCCATCTCCCCATGACTCCATCCCCATCACCCCATCACCTCCATCCCCATCTCCCCATCACCTCCATCCCCATCACCCCATCACCTCCATCCCCATCTCCTCATGACTCCATCCCCATCACCCCATCACCTCCATCTCCATTTCCCCATCACCTCCATCTCCATCACCCCATCACCTCCATCCCCATCACCCCATCACCTCCATCTCCATTTCCCCATCACCTCCATCTCCATCACCCCATCACCTCCATCCCCATCTCCTCATGACTCCATCCCCATCACCCCATCACCTCCATCTCCATTTCCCCATCACCTCCATCTCCATCACCCCATCACCTCCATCCCCATCTCCTCATGACTCCATCCCCATCACCCCATCACCTCCATCTCCATTTCCCCATCACCTCCATCTCCATCACCCCATCACCTCCATCCCCATTACCCCATGACTCCATCCCCATCACCTCATCACCTCCATCTCCATCACCCCATCACCTCCATCCCCATCTCCCCATCACCTCCATCCCCATCTCCTCATGACTCCATCCACATCACCCCATCACCTCCATCCCCATTTCCCCATCACCTCCATCTCCATCACCCCATCACCTCCATCCCCATCTCCTCATGACTCCATCCCCATCACCTCCATCCCCATTTCCCCATCACCTCCATCTCCATCACCCCATCACCTCCATCCCCATCTCCTCATGACTCCATCCCCATCACCCCATCACCTCCATCCCCATTTCCCCATCACCTCCATCTCCATCACCCCATCACCTCCATCCCCATCTCCTCATGACTCCATCCCCATCACCCCATCACCTCCATCCCCATTTCCCCATCACCTCCATCTCCATCACCCCATCACCTCCATCCCCATCTCCCCATCACCTCCATCTCATCTCCCCATGACGCCATCCCCATCACCCCATCACCTTCACCCCCATCTCCCCATCACCTCCATCCCCATCTCCTCATCACCTCCACCTCCATCATCCCATTACCTCCATCATGATCACCTCCATCACTTCTATCACCTCCATCACCTCCATCCCCATCTCCCCATCACCTCCATCTCATCTCCCCATGACGCCATCCCCATCACCCCATCACCTCCATCCCCATCACCCCATGACTCCATCCCCATCACCCATCACCTCCATCTCCATCTCCCCATCACCTCCATCCCCATCTCCCCATAACCCATCACCTCCATCTCCATCACCCCATGACTCCATCTCCATCACCCCACTACCTCCATCTCCATCATCCTATCATCTCTATCTCCATCACCCCATCATCCCCATCTCCATCACCCCACCACCTTCGTCACCCTCTCCATCTCCATCACCCCCTCATCTCCCCACCGGCTCAACTTCGTCCCACTCTGGCTGAGGCTGACTGCAGGCTGGGCAGAGAACGGCCTCTGTGTGCTTAGTCTGTGCCAGTCCCCCACGCCCTGGATCACCCCACAAGCCTGCGTCTCTCTGCTGGAGGAGACAGGCCCGGAGCCCCGAGAGCCTGAGTCACCAGCGTGCACAGCAGCGCCAGGTCCCAGCCAGGCCCCCACTCCAGGCATCCCCGACCCCCTACCACATGCCTCTCACACAGGTACCTCACACACCGCACACATTTTCACAATGTGACACTCACACATTACACATCACGCACGGCACAGACACACACGCGCACACAGCACACAGCCCTTGCATCTCCCACACACACCGTACACACCTCACACAGCTCAGACAGTCTGTGCTGTGCACATCTCCCACATACAGCACACATATACTCACACAGCACACACACTCCATACCATACATACTTCACACGCACACACACCCTACATATACTGTACACACCACACACACCTCCCATACCACACAACCACATATTGTATCTTTACATACACAACTCACACACACAACACACAAGCCATGTACCAGCTATACCATCACCCCATCACCTCCATCTCCAACACAGTGGTGCTGGAGATGATGATGATGATGGTGACGGCTCTGGGCTCCCCCACAGGCCCGCCAGGACGTCAGCACAGCTGCCGCCCAGACGAGCCCCCGCAGGGCCTGCGAGTCTCCCAGTCTCGGCAAAGTCGCTCCGAGTCTTCCTGTTGCCCCACCTCAGCCGGGACAGGGAGGGACGGCCTCGTGTCTGCAGAGCTGAGGGAACTGCGGGGCGAGTTGCGAGTGCAGATGTGTGCATGGGGTGTGTGGTATGTGTGCGTGTGAGGTGTATGTGGTGTGTGTGAGGTGTGTGGGGGGGTGTATGTGAGGTGTGTGTGAGGGGGTTGTGAGGTGTGTGGCGTGAGTGTGTGAGGTGTGTGTAGTGTGTGTGAGGTGTATGTGGAGTGTGGGCATAAGGTACAGTGTATGTGAGGGGTGTGTGAGATGTGTGAAAGTGTGTGTATGGTATACGTACGTGAGGTGTATGTGGCGTGTGTGTGAGGTGTGTGGTATATATGTGAGGTATGTGTGTGAGGGGTGTGTGTGAGGTGTGTGGTGTGTGAGGTGCGTGTGGTGTGCACGTTATTCATGTGGTCTGTGTGTATGTGTGTGTAAGATGTGTATGCAGGTGAGGTGTGTGTTAGGTGTGTGTGTGTGGCATATGTATTTGAGATGTGTGAGATGTGTGTGAGTGTGTACGGTGTGTGTGGGTGTGTGAGATGTATGTGGAGTGTGGGCATAAGGTGTGTGGTGTGTGTGAGATATGTGTGAGTGCATATGGTATATGTATGTGAGATGCGTGTGGTGTGTGTGGTATGTATGTGAGGTATGCGTGTGAGGGCTGTGGTGTGTGAGGTGCGAATGGTGTGTGCATGAGTTATGTGGTCTATGTGTATTGAGGGGTGTGGGTAAGGTGTGTGCATGTGAGTTGTGTGTCAGGTTGTGGTGTACGGCAGGTATGGTGCGTGTGTATGGTGTGTGAGAGACATGCATGGCACTGTGAGGTGTAAATGGTGTGTGTGCAAGTGTGGTGTGTGAGGCACATGTGCTATATGTGAGGTGTGTACAGAATGGAGTCTGCATATGTGTATGGCATGTTGTACGGATGTGCTGTGTGAATCTGTCTGTGATATGTGTGGGACGTGAGGGTACGTGCAATCTATCACTGTCACTGTCCTCCTGTTGTTCGTCGATTTGCTCGAGTGGGCCCAGTAACGTCTCCATTGGAGACTTTGTTGTTACTGTGTTTGGCATATCGAATACGTCACGGGGAGCTTGCCAGACCCTGCCGTGCGGGCGAGATACTCTCGGTAGCTTGCCGGGCTCTCCGAGAGGGGCGGAGGAATCGAACTCGGGTCGGCCATGTTGGCTGCGTGCAAGGCAAATGCCCTACCGCTGTGCTATCGCTCCAGCCACTGCACTATCACTGTGCAATCTATGTGAGATGTATATAGTACAGGCTCTGTGAGGTATGTGTGGTGTGTGTGTATG